CCATGAGCGTTTGTACGCCAACCGAACGGGGCTCACTCTCTCCATGCCCTCTTTAACGAGTTCAAGCAACTTTCGATCCCCGATTGTCTTGCCAGGGCAGGACAGTCTTGAGGCTTCTTTCTAGGGTTTCTACCTAGTCATGGACAAGCAGCTGCCAGAGCGGTTTTTGCTCGGAGGCATTTTTTTGACAAAAATCTGAAATTGATGAAGGTGGAGGAACAGCAGAGGAACAAGGTCGACATAGGAGTAGCTTGTTTCATTCCATGCCTGTCTTGTTGTTGCAGGAATTTTGCAGTTTAGGGGGCAGGAGAAGCATGGCCGCGCAGCGAACACACAGGGAGCTTGCTCCCAGCTATGCTGCGAGGAAAGTCCCCGTGCCTTCGGGTAGAGAGTGCCACTGGGAGACCAGAAGACCTTGGCCTTGCAGCCTACAGCGAAGCTCACGTGGAGTTGTGGTTGCTGGTTTTGGTCCTTTGCAGCAGCAAAGTCATGCCATGAGCGTTTGTACGCCAACCGAACGGGGCTCACTCTCTCCATGCTCTCCTTTTGCATATGAGTTCAAGCAACTTGCGACAGTCTTGAGGCGTCTTTTTAGGGTTTCTACTTAGCCATGGACAAGCTGACAAGCAGCTGCCAGAGCGATCTTTGCTCGGAGGCGTTTTTTTAGCACAAAATCTGAATTTGATGAAGGTGGAGGAACAGCAGAGGAACAAGGTCGACATAGGAGTAGCTTGATTCATTCCATGCCTGTCTTGTTGTTGCAGGAACTTTGCAATTTAGGGGGCAGGAGAAGCATGGCCGCACACCGAACACACAGGGAGCTTGCTCCCAGCTATACTGCGGGGAAAGTCCGCGTGCCTTCGGGTAGAGAGTGCCACTGGGAGACCAGAAGACCTTTGCCGTGCAGCCTACAGCGAAGCTCACGTGGAGTTGTGGTTGCTGGTTTTGGTCCTTTGCAGCAGCAAAGTCATGCCATGAGCGTTTGTGCGCCAACCGAACGGGGCTCACTCTCTCCATGCCCTCTTTTCACATATGAGTTTAAGCAACTTGCAGCAGTCTTGAGGCGTCCTTTTAGGGTTTCTACTTAGCCATGGACAAGCTGACAAGCAGCTGCCAGAGCGATCTTTGCTCGGAGGCGTTTTAAGCAGAAATGTTAATTGATAAAGGTAGAGGAACAACAGAGGAACAAGGTCGACATAGGAGTAGCTTGATTTATTCCATGCCTGCAGGAACTTTGCAGTTTAGGGGGCAGGAGAAGCATGGCCGCGCAGCGAACACACAGGGAGCTTGCTCCCAGCTATGCTGCGGGGAAAGTCCCCGTGCCTTCGGGTAGAGAGTGCCACTGGGAGACCAGAAGACCTTTGCCTTGCAGCCTACAGCGAAGCTGACGTGGAGTTGTGGTTGCTGGTTTTGGTCCTTTGCAGCAGCAAAGTCATGCCATGAGCGTTTGTACGCCAACTGAACGGGGCTCACTCTCTCCATGCCCTCTTTTCGCATATGAGTTCAAGCAACTTTCGATCCCCGATTGTCTTCCAAGGGCACGACAGTCTTGAGGCTTCTTTCTAGGGTTTCTACTTAGTCATGGACAAGCAGCTGCCAGAGCGATCTTTGCTCCGAGGCGTGTTTTTAACACAAAATCGGAAATTGATGAAGGTGGAGGAACAGGAGAGGAACAGGGTCGACATAGGAGTTTATAGCTTGATTCATTCCATGCCTGTCTTGTTGTTGCAGTAACTTTGCAGTTTAGGGGGCAGGAGAAGCATGGCCGCGCAGCGAACACACAGGGAGCTTGCTCCCAGCTATACTGCGGGGAAAGTCTCCGTGCCTTCGGGTAGAGAGTGCCACTGGGAGACCAGAAGACCT